AAAAATAGTAACTCGTCAATTGTTTGTATTGGATCCAATCTATAAAGGATATAGTAATGAATTGTTTTGGCGAGAAGCCAACAAAATGAGTGTCTCAATATATTAAGCAGTGCATGATTTAGTAATCAGATACAGTTATATATATGCTTGAATATTTCTGGCGCAGTGAAATTTCATTAACAGAATTCGTAAGTCACCTAAAAATCAACTCTAGGGTGTCCTTAAGGCCTGCAGCTTCCTCTTTTTCCTCATGTGCCAACGAGCAATATCTTTTTCCCCTTTCCCTTTTTCCCTGAACGCTTAGCATAGACTGTTGCTTTTGTTGCTCAAAATAGATCAAGACTTCAGCGTGAACTAAACTGAATTGTATAGTAAGTTAGGGGTTGTATATAAAAACAGGCAACTTAAAAGAAAGCTGCTCTGCTAGTTCGCCACAATTCGTGTCCCTCTAACCAATTTTCTGGTTATCATAATCATAAATTACCAACCTCCATAGCATAGAAACATCTGTGCAAACAAAACTTGGGAATTAAATATTAAAAGGAAAAAATTCATCGAGTTATTCTTCTGATGATTCGATATTTATTACCTGCAATTATGTTCAGATTTTGATATTCTGGTCCAAGTTCTTGACTTTCTAAAATCCCCAAGCATAGATTCTGTTCTGGCTACAAATGAAGAGCATGCTAAATACTTAATAGTATCTAATCTAAACAATGCATTCATAATAAAGGATTTCTAATGGGTTCTTATGCTAATAGTGAGATAATCTGGCGAATCTAGTTCAAACTAGACATTGTTGGCGAAGCTCAAAGTTAAGGAGCTGGAAGAGTTCACGAAATCACTGAAAGATGTAGAAGGTCTCCAGCAGACAGGAAGATACGGATCGTCTAATTTGTGAACATCGTCTAATTTGTTTGCAATAAGTTTTCCATTACAAGTAATTTTCAATGGATTTTTGCACAAATCTGTTAAGAAAATTCTTCAGACATTCCAAAACCAGAAATGGATATTCTATGGCGACGTAATAGATCCTAACCAACAGTGGTTTTGGCCAAGCTTGAAAATTTTGCTTATAATTCAGTTTAGTTATAAGTTAACAAGTAAATAAGTTAAAAAAAAAAAAACATAAATTTTAAAATAAATACCTTTATTATTTTTTTTTAATCCAAGTTGGTATGTCATGCAACAACCGACTACGAAGAAGATTTATAGTGGTATGACAATCAAATATTCAATTTTTATCAATTTGATCAGAGATAGAACTTGACGCTTAATGACCTACTTTGAAGATCAACGATAGAATTCAAACAAATTAAAGTATACACCCAGTTAACATCTTGCTGAAAGTTCAGAGACCACAAATGACATTTACACGTTTCAGAAAAAAATTAAGCACATCCAAGGAAACTTGAGAATAATAACTTACGTACAAGTAAGTTAAACTTAGCCAACATATTCAACTATAGCAAAATTCACTTATTTAATTTTGTTCGCCAAAATTATTTTGTAATTCGTTGCAAATTCAACAATTAATTACTACCTTTTATGTTAATTTAGTTCATCTAAAAATGTGAGGTGGACTTTGTTTTTTTTCATCAAAGATGCATAATTTTTTGATAAAGGAATAAACAAAAAATACAAAAAAATTGAATTCATGACCTTTATCAAGTATTGGTGTAATCTAAAAAGTTTAATATCTTAAATAATGTAATTTCTCATTTTGTAGCATTGTTTGAAAGACAAAAGGTTGAAGAGGAACAATGGAATTCCAGGAGGAAGAACACATTATCACTAACAGTCCACACAATTGAAAAATGCTGTCCCTGTGTATAGTTATTAAAATGCAAAATAAAAATGAAGTTATCTTAAAAAATAAAATATTTTTTTTCCAGAATTAAGCCTAATATTCATATACAAACAAATAAATCCAAATGTAAGTGATTTTATCATGTCTTCCAATCTAATTCTCATCACATGCTCCATCAACTCAACTTTGGCGAGTTATTTTGCAAAGATCTTTTCAAGCCTATCTTAGCTCAAACCAAATTTCGATAGCGCCCACCGGATAGCATATCAGTACTGGTCCTCCAACAACGTAGAAGTTGCACTTAACCTCAAAATCAACTCTAGGGCGAATAACTTTCCAGCTTCCTCTGCTTTTTTGTGTGCCAACGAGCTATATCTTTTCCCTTGTGCCATTTACCCTTTTTTGTTTTCCATGAATGCTCAGTAGGGCCTGTAGATTTTATTGCATATTATAGATTGAGGCATTAGTATACATTGATTTGCATATACATATACAAATATAACCGTCCACAAAATAGATAATCCTAAACAGCATTAATCTCTAGATAACTATCTCACAAACTGAAATACATCAAATAACAGTGGGGCTTCTATTAGGAATTGGCTCTGGCTAGTTCTCTTTGGGACAAATAAACAAATTTGTATTCTATGTAGGACAAACAAATTATAGCCTGTCCTATTCTATGTGGGTTTGTATGCCTGAAAACAACAAATTTTATTGCAAAGCTCCAGGAATTATGAAAGGTAACTTACCAGATAGCTGCTCTGGCAGTTCACTGCAACCAATTTCCTCGTTTTCATAGTCATAAATCACCAATTTCCATAGCACAAAAATGTCTGTATGCACAAAATTTGAGAATTAGATTCGTAGACAAAATATCCATCTAGTTATTTTGTTAACGCTTTCGTATTCATTACCTCCAATTATGTTCAAGTTTTCAAAATCTGGTCCAAGTACCTGGCTTTCTAGAATCCCCAAGCACACGTTGTCAAGAGGTTAAAATTAAATAGCTTGCTAAGTACTTAATAGTGTCTTAACGAAGAACTAAATTCATTTATAATGATTTCCAACAGGTTCTTATGACTTACGCTGACTATAAGATAATCTGTTGGTGCTAGTTCAAAATAAACTTTTTTGTTCCCTGTGAAGCTCAAATTTAGTAAGCTGAAAGAGTACAGGAAATCATTAGAAGATGCAAAGGGTCTCCAGCAGACAGGGAGATATGGATCCTCAACTGGTGCCGCTGTCTTCTCTGCCAACTCTTTCACCTGAAAAAATAACTGGCAACCTATTGAAACCCGTAAATCTTATGCAGCAATCATTTTTTTTCGTCTCACCTGGGAAAGAACATCTTGGTATATTACAGGGCTGAAGTAATTGTAAGTAGTCCCACTGTCCAACATAAAAAGTAATCCCGAAGCAAGAGGATTTCCATCATATAAAAGATCTGCTGGGCCAAGCATGTTATATGGTCTGCAAAATTTGTAATTTTTCATTACTATTCCATTTTTTTTTCAGTACTTCTTAGTGGAACAGATTTTGACATGTAGTACTAAACTTCCTTACTCGATGTGATTATTCGAAAATGGAATCCATATAGTTTCTGGTAAATTGGATTTAGAATCTCCAAGGACAGGCAAAGAGCAATAACATTCTTAATTAGACCTTGATCACTTAGATGAGACAACATACTTGTTTTGCCAGTGCCGAGGCCTAGAACTCCAACTGTAAAAGGAGAACGAAATGAATAATCAAATTCCTGATGGTATCTGCATCTCCCAGTAAGAGGACCGTCGTGTGAGTACAAATAAGTACATTTTGTTCACAATATCATTGATTGCACATTTTTGTTCCTTTCATATTCCATTTGAATAACTTTCAAAAGTGCAGAATGAGAAACCATAAATTGAAGGAGTAACAATGGGGTGCCAATTGCGAATCAACATCCTCGTATCGTCTTATAATGGTTTGAATTGTTGTTTTGTACAATACTTGACAAAATCTTTGTTTCTTATGGTGGAAATTCCAATGACGAAAAGATGAAAAAAAAAATCTTAACTTGTGAATTAACAATACTTAATCCATTAGATGTTTTTGTTTTCTAGTTACTGAACAACTTTAAAGTTAAAAAAGATTGCATACAGTAAAACATGAGCTAAATATCTGATGTATCTTCTAAAAAATTCAGCAACTAATGATAAGAAAAAAATCATCAGAAGAATAGGCTGTCGCAATCATGTCGGAAATTGTTGTGATGTAACCGTAAGGAATAATAAGGATATAAATGCCGGTCCAAAAGGAAAAAAAATTCCTCGCTCAACCACAATAGATCATTCCATTCCAAATGCATCTTAAAATATATAATTATCAACTAATTTAATCTTATCTCTAAAATAAAACTTTTTAATTTGCTGCAAATTCAGGAGTAAAAGACATTTTTACATTAAATCACCTTATTTAAAAGCTTATTAGCAACGTGGCTCACTTCTTAATTTTTATCAAAAGCTTATGCAGAATTTTTTTTTTAATAAATGGGTAATACTTAGATTTAACTTCGACAATTACATGCTAACTATCTCGACTAGAAATAAGTTTGAACAATGTGGTTTCATATTTTGTATTGTTTTTCGAAAGATAAAAGAGAAGAACAGTGGAATGTGAACAAGATGAATTCAATATGGACTAATATTTTCAATATTTAATAGTCTGATAATTGATAAATATTGCTACTACTTGTACTTAAATATTCTTACTTAAAAAAGAACTACAAATTAAACTTAATAACTGT